AATCCGGTGAAGCAAACTGTCCAATTAGAGCCGGGGCCTCCGGCTTCCATCTTTGCCGACGTTTAATTAACATGCTCCTCTTGGCAGCTGCTGACAAGTTCCAGAAACAGGTTGTAAAGGGTTTTTGTCTTTACCCAGCATGGAAAATAAGGGGTGTTACATCGCGGAACATGAATAGGTGGCACTTCAGCTTCCTCCTTCTCTCCTCCCCCTCCCCCTGCTCTGCAAAGGGGAACGGGAGCCCTGAGTGTTCGTGTATGCGCGTGTATGTGTGTGTGTGTGTGTGAATTGCCAAGGAGGCGGGGAGAGCTAGTCGGAGGCAGGAGAGACCTTCCTCTCTTTATCCCTTCCTTCCCAGGAACCTTTGCTCCACAAAAGGTTTGGGTTTCTTTGCTCTTTAGCCGGCACACTTTTCCCTCACCTCTTGATGCCTGTCCGCGAGTTTGCCCATGCTACCCCCTAGTTACTCTTGGCGTACTTCCTATTCATCCTCCACAACCCGGGCCATCAGGGTACCACCTAGTCACAGACTGCCTTTCCAAGCACTCCTGTCGTAGTCTACCTGTCCATCTCACATCTGGGAATTTAGGGACCTGAAACTTTCCCCATGGTACAGCAGGAGCCGGGCAGGGCTGGCAGAGGACAGGGAGGGGGTGCCAAGGAAAGCCGACTGGGTGGGGAGTCCTCCCTTCCTCTCCCCAGCCTGCTGGGATGTACACAGAGCAAGTTAGTGGCCTTCTCACTAGTGTGGACCATTAACATGAGGGAAGAAGGGTGCTTGGGGAATAAATGCAGTCGGGGCTGAGCTCCTGGGCCACCCAGGCTGGGTGAACTTCTCATAGAGAGAGTGTTCCTTTGGGCAAGGGTCAGAGCCAGGCAGGAGGCCAGATTCTCTGGGTCTATATATCTCCCACAGGGGCCCTACCAGAGCATTCACACCCATTCTACAAAGAACATCAACAACATTTATTTACTACACAGGGAAGAGTGGTCTGAGGTCTCCAGGAGCATGGGAGGTGTGGTTGGGGAACAGGCAGGGCTGGAGGAGTTCATGAATCAGGACCCCATGGGAAGGTCCAGCCCACTCCCGCCCAGCCACTGTCCATGCTGCTTTCCACAGGATATTGAGCATCGTGACCCCAGGCAGGGGCAGACCTTCTGCAGCTGACCCTGGCTTGGAGCTCACTTTGTCGGAATCTCCTCCATTCTCAGACAAGCCCCCTGGGATGAAGGGGGTTTGGAAGGTGCTGGGGCCAGGTCAGCAGGCCTTTCAGCTTCCCTGCTCCAGAGTCCCCAGCTAGGTTGCTCTAGCTCTTTCCAGAGCCTGGGGACAGTTTGTGAAGCCTGCAGGGAGAGAGGAACAAAAGCGGGTGGGTATGTCCCTACCAGGCCTGCTGCAGCCTCCTGGCACCGAGGTGGATACCAGCAGCAATGGACACAGTCTGGCTTTGGTCCTTCCTCTCCTGACATGTCCCTTTGCCTTTTACCCTAGACCCAGCTGCTTCTAAGCTCTGGTCTCCAAGGAAGGCAAATGTTGGTAAGATCAAAGACAATGACCTTGAGACACCCCAGTTCCTTCACTTGTTAGCTTGCGGCTTGAATCCTGCCCCTTAATTTCTTCAGCTATTAAAAACAAAGAAGGGGGCTGGGGATGCAGCTCCGTTGACGGAGGGTTTACCTAGCCCAGCATTGTATAAACTGGGTGTAGTGACACACACCTGTTATTCCAGCACTTAGGAGGTAAGACAGGATGATGTGGGGAGGGGGAGGTCAATGTCATCCTCGGCTACATAGTGAGTTCAAAGGCAACCTGGGATATCTGAGATCCTGTCTTTAAGAGGGGTTGGGGGTGGCTGGTCAAGGTGGTATATATCTGTAAGCCCAGCACTTGACTGAGGCAGAAGGATACTTAGTTCTAGGCTAGCCTGGGATATGAACGAGAGGGAAACAATTACCCTGCTTCATGGAAATTTCTCAAGGGTTGGTTGGTATTACAGCACTCCATCAATACGATGCTCTCTACAGAGGGGAAGGAAGAAGGAAGGTCTAGCCTGATTTAACTGAGTAAAGCCAGATCATAGATGAGGAAACCAAAGCTTGATCTCTAGGCTGAAGAAATGCTCCAAGTCACACAGCAACAAGCAGTCACAAAGCCAAGTGTGTAGCTGGGTCTCTTGCTACGTGTTCCTCCAGGCTACCTAGCCTATCCCACCCCAGAGGAAGGAGAGATTACACCTTCACATCTTTATGCTCACTCTGTGTTGTTCTCTTAACCTGTCTTTGAGACCTGGACCTCTATTGAGAGAACCTGACCACCATCCCCCAAAGATAAGGCTTACCTGCTTCTCACCTGCTGAGGGAGCTTAGTGTATCAAGGATGCTGAAGTTATTGGAGTTGCTAGGGATACTGGAGTTGTTGGAGGTACTGGAGGAATCAAGGATGCTGAAGGAAGTACCATGGGTATTGAGGGTACCACAGGAGCAGGATGTTTGTGGGTGAGGTCCTCAGGAATGTAGACAGTGTTCACCTCTTCAGGAATCTGTGGAGAGAGGAAGGTACTTCCAGGGTCCGGTCACAGGCAGGACCTGGTATGCCTGGCAGAATTAAAGGTGCTGGGTGAGCCCAAGGCTGTAAATACTGTGTGGCGAGTGCCCTCTTGTGGTCATGTTAAAGATCGCACGGCACAAACATTCCTTTAGAGCTTGCCAGGGGCGCTGTCAGGACTGGCACTGTCTGGGGTACTGAGGCACAAGAACCAAATAGGGTCCTTGCCCCACAAGAATAATAGCTTGGCAAATGCTGGGTGGCATAAGAGTTCATATTGCATTCTAGACTCTTAGAAGCACATGGCGGGTTCAGGAAGGTTGCACCCATTTTTGAAAGATGAGCAGTATGGCATGTCAGAACTAGAGCTGCATCCAAAAGTAGAACAAGGTTCTAGTAATTTTATAATTAAAATAAAATTTAAAATTCAAGCTGGAGAGATGACTCAGTGGGTAAAGGCTCTTGCTAATGACCTGAGTTCCAGCCCCAGAGCATGTGCCTGCTCTCTCTCTCTCTCTCTCTCTCTCTCTCTCTCTCTCTCTCTCTCACTCATAATGAGAGGATCATGTAAACACCAGCAATAATGGATTGTGGATTGTGGGGGAGAGAAACCCTGATGCTACTGGAAGCCCAAAGTGTTTTTAAAGAAAAAGAGTTCTGGGGTGGCAGGATTGCTCAGTGGGTAAAATCATTTGCTGTCCAACCTGAGGACCTGAGTTCAATTCCTGGGATCTACATGGTGGGAGAGAATTGACTCCTACAAGTTGTCCTCTGACCTCCAACAGATGTGTGTCCATACACATCCATGCACACACTTGTGTACACACACGAGAGAGTGAACAAGGGACACACACACAGGCAGAGACAGAGAAACAGTGAGAGACAGTTCTGCTGTACTCTGGTATTTTGCCTCCTGGAATACCTCTCAGGTTGGGTTTTATACTGACAGGCTAAAAGTGGTGGGCTGTGGTGGAATTGCACCTCTGAATTCCGTGGGAGCTTGGCCACCCAGATTCCCAGCCCTTCTGAAGGAGGACTCAACCACCCCACCCTGGCTGGCATCAAGTGGAAATCTCACAAGCAATCATTACTAGAGAGTCTGAAGTTGGACACTACATTGATTCTTTCACCAGTATGAGCATCCCCTGGGAAGCTTTACAAAATATTCTCACATCCAAGCCCGGCACCACCAGAGCTGTGGGACCCAAGCTGCTGGATGGAAGCTCTGAGCTGCCCTAGAGGCTTCCCAGGTGACTCTCAGATGCCAGGAAGGGTAAAGACCCACAAGCCTTAAAAGGAGGTTCTTGGGTGGGGCTTCAGCCAGTGTTACCCAGCAGTTGTTAATACCTCAGAGGAGGATTGCTTGCCTTTTCTTTCTTTTCTTTTCTTTTTTTTTTATAGGGTAGCATATAGCGTATCAGGCTGGCCTCAAACTCACTATGTATTTCAGGATGACTTTGAACTTCTGATCTTCTTGCCTTTATCTCCAGAGTGCTGGAACAATGTGGTGCTGGAGACCCAACTCAGGACCTCATGCACAGGCGAGCATTTTACTAATTGAGGGCTAGCCCCAGCCTTTGCTATTCTGTTTGTTGAGGCAGAGCCTCACTCTGCAGCCCAGGTTGACCTCAAACTTGTGGCTATCCTCTTGCCTCAGCCTCCTCCCTAGGATAGGATTACAAGGTGACACCACTGCTGTTAGGGTCGGGGACAGATTTTGGAAGTTACTCTCAGAATACAGCTGGCTGACACACCAGATTCAGGCCCCATGGCAGGCTTACTTCCATGACTCCACTCCCGGAGTGTGTAGAAAGAAAGGTATATACAGCCCCATTGTGGTCCCCGGGGGAAAGAAAGATGGGTAGCTAAAAGACTTCAATTTACAGGTGGCACCATGCCCTACACAGACATCACAGCAGGTGAAGGCAAGGTGAGGGGCAAAGGTGCAAGTCTCCAGAAATTACCTCCCAGTAAATGGTGTCTTCAAAGCAGTTTTCATCAGCAGCTTCTCCCCAGAATGGCAATTTCAAAATGAGCCCTAAACAGATTGGGGGACATAGTAGTCAGAAAAATATGTAAAAACACATATACACCCATAATACACACATGTGAGTACACACACACACACACACACACACACACACACACACACACACACACACATTCCCAGTCCCACAGCCAACATACAGATATCAGATATTCTGGGGAGAGCATGCTCACTCTTAAGACATGCTCTTGGGTCCCCCCACTTAGTGAGTCCCCTACCAGGACCCCATCTTTTCTAGTTTAGCCACTCTTACTCACCCACAATGATGCCGCCCACCAGGGCCATGGCCAAGGTCAGGAGGAGGCCAAATATCTGGGAACTGCCCTGCATTCTCTTGGTCCAGTCTGCCTTATAGCCCCCAAAGCCAAGTGAGTGGACTAGCCTGGGGTAGAGACAGGAAGCAAGTGAGGACCTCATGGAGAGGACCTCAGGGAGCTGGGTATTGCTTCTCTATGGATGTGCTCTTGAAACCCTAGGCCTCTGCTTTCCAAACTAGATTGTTCCTCTCTCGCACCCTTGAGACAGATCTGAGGGTGGGGAGAGAGGCCAGTGAACGGTCCAGAGTGGATTTAGAGGAAGAAGACTCTTTTGGCTCCACAAACGAAGCAATAGAGAGTGACGGAGGAAAACCCACTCCCACGCCTCCTCCACATTTACCCTGGCTCTCCATACACATCAGGGGAGGAGTAGGCTGCTGTCACAGCACCCACGATGGCGCCTATGATGCCAGGGATACCATGCAGGTTGTGAATGCCACATGTGTCCTGGATGCGCAGGTGGGACTCCAGGAATGGCTGGGGGAGGAGGGAAGGTGGCACGATCAGGCCGTGGCTGCGGCAGGGGCATGGGGAGGCCTTCAAACACACTGCCCCAGTGTTCCCTAAGCCTCACCCCCTCTGTCTCTCCCTACTTTCAGGAACACAGACATCCCCAGCCCCAGGCTTAGGGTCCTCACCGATAGGTAGGTGAATCCCAGAGTGGAGATGATGCCACAGAAGAAACCCACGATGAGGGCGCCATAAGGTGTGAGCATCATCTCTGCAGCTGTGCCCACACCTACCCCACCTGCAAGGGTGGCGTTCTGGATGTGCACCTGGGCAGGGTAGGTAAAGTGTGCAAGCTCTCAGTTCTGTTCCCGGAGCGTGGCATGCAAAGCTGGGAGCTGGGAACAGCTCCGGGTCTGCCTCAGCAAGCCAGGGGCATGCAGCGGGCGCTGGCCTTGGCCCCAGCTGACTGCTCCTGCTTCGTGTGCTCTGCAAGCAAGTCACCCACGACCCCCAGCAGTCTTGGACATGTTCTGTGTCCATGAGGCAATTGCTGCTGGACATACCTGTGGACCCCCATCTGCACATGTCCTTTTTCTCTGTGTCCACCTGTGGGCCACTGGGCATAGCCGAGTGCACACTATGTGTCCACCAGGCATTTGTGTGCCCCATGTTTGCCCACATGCTCCCAATGTTCTTTGTTAGTCATGGCAGGTCCTAAGCGCCTGCGCTTGAACATCTTTAAAAGGCCCAAGAGGCCACTGTTGTTAGGAGAATGAAGACCTGGCAGAGGGGACCCTCCTTACACCGGCAGCTCTACTAGGCAGGCCAGGTGTGACACTCAACCAGCACTGGCTAATAGCATTTCAGGCTGTGGGGAAGACAAGAACATTTGGCAGGGATGACCCACTGTGAGCATCCAGGTTTGTGTTTGCCAATCTAGAAGCTGCCTGCCGTGATGAGATGGCAGTCAGATAGGTACCTCCCCAAGAAGTCCCCAACTCACCATGTCCAGCTTGCCCTTCTTGTGTACGATACTGGACACTGCCACCGTAGTTAGCACACTAGCCGCCAAGGAGAGGTAGGTATTGAGGGCTGCTCGGTGTTGGGTGTCTCCGTGGAAGCAACTGGCCGAATTGAAGCTGGGCCAGAATATCCACAGGAAGAGGGTACCTGGGTCAGAACATATGCAGGCCAGGAGCCAGGAGAGGGGGTGTTAGGTCAGGCTCGCAGAGGCCAAGCGGAGGCATTGCCTTTCAGCTCCAGCCATGTCCAGCTGCTGCTGACCTACGAGCATCACTCTCACTAGTGCTCCTTCTGGCCCAGCTCACCCAGGTCCCACTTGGCCTCCCATACCACTTCACAAAGCCTCCATGTCTCCCTGACCCTAGGACTGGTTACATGCCCCCTACCCTTATAGCATCATGTAGGAGAGTCTCTTCCCTCTGTAGACAGACCAGCTAGTGGCACTATCATCTCTCAGTCTACAGGGTGATGGAAGGAAGGGCTGGGTCTGATATTCATCGTGTGTCATGGGGACCAAGTGTCCAGGTCCCGTTTCCCCTCTGTCTGCTGTGGGGTATGCTAGGAAACACATAGGATGAGTGACCAACATCTTCCAACTCCATGAGGGAGAGAACTGGACACTCAGGACTCTAGAAGTATCTACAGGCTACTTCAATCTGCCCTTCCTCCTAAAGAACCAGCAGCCACCCGCTGGTCATGTGGAGATGAGGGATGACCAGGCCCATTGTCACCCATCACATTCATAATTGCCCTCACCCGTTATTTTTAGTGGTCCTCACCCAACATGGTTATTCTTATTCATTATGGGCGTTCCTCTCTTCATTATTATGGTGGCCTTCACTCATCATGGCAGGTCTTCCAACTATTCATAGCTGTTCTTACCCATCCATAGCAGTTCTGACCCATCATGGCGGCCCTCACCAGTTTGGCAATGCCCCCCCCCACCATAGTGGCCCTCACCAACATAGGAGATCTCACCCACCATGGCTGCCCTCACCAACATGACAGCTGCTGGTGCTCACCAATCATGGCAAAAAGGTCCGAGTGGTACACTGAACTCTGTCTCTGCTTGCTCTGCTCCAGGTTTTTTCGGTAGAGGATCCAGGTCACTGTGAGCCCAAAGTAGGCGCCAAATGTGTGGATGGTCATAGAGCCCCCTGCATCCTTTGCCTGGAGTGCAAGGGGCCTGTCAGGACCTGGGACCCTTTCTCCCTCCTTCCTCATAGTACTCCCCTCCCCACACGTATGCACACATGACCCCAGCTGTGGAACACAGAGCCCAGTTCCCTGTTCTATTGTCCTATTTCCTCTGTGTGTGTGTGTGTGTGTGTGTGTGTGTGTGTGTGTGTGTGTGTGAGTGTGCATGCGTATTTGGGTTTTTTTGTTGGTTTTGTCAATTTGACACAACCTGGAAAGAGGGACCTTCAGTTGAGAAAATACCTCCATCCAATTGGTCTATAAGCAAGTACGAAGGGCATTTTCTTGATTTGGGAGGGTCAACCTTGGGTAGGTGTTTCTGAGTTGTATAAGAAAGCAGGCTGAGCAAGCCATGAGAAGCAAGTCAGGAAGCAGCATTCCTCCATGGCCTCTACTTCACTTCCTGCCTCCAGCTTCCTACCAGGACTTCCTTAGATAATGGATTGTCATATGGAAGTCTAAGCAAAATAAACCTTTCCCTCCCCAAGTTGTTTTTTGTCATGGTGTTTCATCACAGCAATAGAAACCCTAAGACAGTTCCCACAGCAACTAGTTGAGCAGAGGGAGGTAGGGATGTTGACTGGCAGTCAACAAAATGCCAGGGTCCTCTCCTCTGTTTGGTTAGCTCTCCTGGTGGACTTTGACTGCCTGTGGTGGGAAGCCTCTGGACTATTAGGCTGGTTGTAGCACCCTCTGCTGGGCTGCCTAGCCCTACCTGGAGGTCAATCCTTAACACAGGGCATGCTTGCTCAGTGCCTCTCTGCTTGGATGCCTCTCTGAATTGTAAATTCCTGGGTCCTATCTCAGTGCAGCCTACTCCCCTCTGTCTATAGCCTTCAGCATAGCTCAATAGAACCTCAGACTCTGAAATCTGAGTATGAGTGATACACTGGCCAGGTGTGAGAGCAGAGAGCATCCAGACAGACAACCTTCCCTTATTGAAGGCCACCAAGTGCTATGAAGAAGCAGACAAAAGCAATATAAGAGCCATGCTAGGGCCAGGGAGGGACAACATGGAGGAAGGCAGCGCCTCTCTGAAATGACATTCAAATTGAAACATGCATGGATAATGCAAAGAATAAAGATGGCTGCTCCAGCACGGGAAGACAGCAAGGGTAAAGTTCTTGACAGAATCAAGCTCCTTGCAGTTGGGGCATAACGGAGGTCACAATCAAAGAACAGTCCATGGTGGCAGAGCCAAGCCTAAGCTTTGAGGGAAGGGGAGGCAGAGTCTGAATTTACAGAGCCTTAGGTCAAGTTCAGTTTCATCCTAAGTGAAATGAAAGCTTTTGGTAGTTTTTAATCGGGGGAGTGATTTTCTATGTCTGGAAAAGGCCTACTCTAGCTTCTGATGGAGACCAGCCTGGCTTAGAGCAGAACAGAATCAAGCTTGGACGTGAGTCAGAGATGTGTGAGAGACTCACAGTTCCTCATTGGTCTGTCCTCTCTATAGCATCATCGAAGCCGACTTCTGTGTGGCATCTACCTGTGTGGCCTTTGGGGCAGTTCTAGGCAAGATCAGCCCAGTCCAACTGCTTATCATGACCTTCTTCCAAGTGACTCACACATCTCTGTGGGGGTGGCTGGCTGAGGGCTAAAAAAGAACGGCGCTGAGGGCTAAAAAAGAATGGGTGCAGTGATTGACTGGACCTTAAGAGTAGTCAAAACACCTCATCTAGTGCAGGGGGTGTTCCAGGCTGGGTTCAAATGTAGAAGAGGAAGCTCAGAAATGCATGAGGTAGCAGCCAAATGATATCCTCCTCTACATTGAGATAGCAGGGAAGTTCCCTAGAGTCAGAGGTCTAAGGTGCTGTTAGCCAGTTCATGGAATCAGCCAAACCCAAAGTGCAACATTCTTGCCACAATTCATGGGAATGGCATTCCTAGGGTTGTGGCATTCACAACCAGTGCAGTTGTATAGGATCACTTCTCTGGGATTCCTCTTGGCAGATTTATCCTTAACACATGGAGGTTTTTTTCCTTTGGGAGAAAGATCTAGGGATGTAGGTATGCCAAAATATGTGAAGGATGTTCCTTCCATCTGATGAAAGAGACAGGAAGTTAAAAAAAAAAACAACCCAAAACCAAGAAACAACCAAATTCAGAGAAGGCCTGCTCTGCCCAGATACTGTGCAGATAGATTAGGAAGACAATGATTTCACTAGGGAGGCATCATGATTCCTAATTTGTAGATGAAGAAACTGTGATGAGGGAAGCTGAATGGCTTACCAGGTTGCACATATCCACAGACCTTTCTTTCTTTTTCCCTCCAATGCCTCCCTCCCCCCTGTAAGCGTTGCTTACCTCTATCAGGTTCAGGAGGATGTACTCATTCACTGCGAAGAGGGTCACTTGGAAGAAGGTCATGATAAGCAGTTGGACTGGGCTGATCTTGCCTAGAACTGCCCCAAAGGCCACACAGGTAGATGCCACACAGAAGTCGGCTTCGATGATGCTATAGAGAGGACAGACCAATGAGGAACTGCAGCTACAAACCAGAAGAGACGCCCCAAGCCTTTGGTCCTCTATGGACTGAGGCTGCTGGTTTAATCTTTTTGTTTCTCTGTGTAGTTTTGGAGGCTGTCCTGGCACTTGCTCTGGAGACCAGGCTGGCCTCGAACTCACAGAGTTCCGCTTGCCTCTGCCTCCCCAGTGCTGGGATTAAAGGCATGTGCCACCAATGCCCGGCATGGTTTAATCTTTTTTGAGCCTCGGTTTCACTATCTGTGACTACAATGGGCTCATTATAGTTAGGGCCATGCATGCATAGTATGTCTGGTGAAAAGCCTACTCTGACTTAGAGCAGAACAGAGTCAAGTTTGGACATGAGTCAGAGATAAGAAAGACAATGGCTGAGGGCTAAAAAAGGGTGGCATAGTGACTGACTAGAGCTTAAGAGTGTTCAAAACTCCTTCTCCGGGAGTAGGGGGTATTCCAGGCTGGGCTCAAATGCAGAAGGGGAGGCTCAGAATTGCATAAAGTCATTGAATAATGTCCTCCTCCACACTGAGGCACCAGGGAGGTTCCTGAGTAGCAGGGGGAGCCATGCCTTCCCTTAACAGCCCCATGCCTGTAGGCAGCTTATGCTCAGGGAACCAAGTGGTCTAGCCACTTTTGGTGAGCAAGCCCTGTATTAAGGGTACAGCCCTGTCCCCTATCTTCTGCTTGCCTTCCCAGGACCTCCTCTTATTGTCTCTGTTTGCCCAAAAGCCTTCCTCAGTTCCTCCAATGCAGCCTCTCTCCAGACCAAGTGCTCACTCTAGACTTACCAGTCCCTATCACTACCATAGGTTTCTGGGGTTTGGCTACTGGGTCCTTCTTTACCCACGAGAAAGGGTCAGTGTCCACGGAAAAGCAGAGGGACCTTCCCACATCCGTAAAGATCTAGAGTGGTACTGGGCATAAGGAGGGGGCAGGAAGGCACAAAGAAAGGATGGGGCAAAAGGAGGCACCAAACTCCCCTCAATTCTGAACTGCACAGACCCAGCGACCCCAGCAGAGGGACCAAGGCGAAGTGGACATCTACTGCAGGCATGCAATGCCTACATCTGCAGGAGACCCTCTTCCTGTTCCTGCCCACTCCCTTTCATTACCCCACCCCACCCCCATTGCCTCTCTCTCATCGTCTCGCACTGCACCAAACTACCATCCCACTAGGCCTTGCCTACTGAGTCTTTTCCAGTTTTTCTCACCCATCCACCCATAGGGCCCTCCCTATCACCACATGACCTGCCCCAATCCAGACCCTGCCCACCCCCACCCTGCTCCTGGGCCTCCCCCGCTCCACCCTCCTCCCCAGGACCCACCCCCAGCCAAAACCTCCCAGTCCACCTGTGCCCCTTCCCCACCCAGGGCGCCCCCACCATTGCCTGTCGGACCCCGCCCAGTCCATCCCTCCCGCCTCTCCTGGGCTCACTTTTCCACGCTCAGGATAATGTGGCCTTCTTCAAAGAAGCGGAACCAGCCCTGCATGAGCAGCGCCCACTGGATGCCGAAAGCTGCCAGCAGGAAGTTGAAGCCTACCGCGCTGAACCCATAGCGCTGCAGGAAGGTCATGAGAAAGCCGAAGCCTACGAAGACCATGGCATGCACATCTTGTAAACCTGCCGGGAGAGCACAATTGAAGGTCTCTGCTGTCTAGAGGTCCACCATGGCCTTGAGTCTGACAGGCCAGCACAGCCTAGGACAGCTCCTGTGTTTTCAGCCACTGTGACAGAACCTGGAGCCTTGACTCTCTGTTCCCCTTATCCCTGCTCCCCTCTTCCCTGCAACCAGACTATATCCGGGTGGCACTAACAAGAGGCCTCTTGATTGGTAAAAATAGCCACTACCTTCATCTTAGGCTCTCTGGAAGGAACCAGGGGACTAGAGGTGGGTCTTCAGATTAGACCACTGGGTTATAGGGTCAAGAAGATGACTGAGAGCACCCTTGGGAGATGACAGTTTTCTTGTTCCACCCTCCATCCAGATGGCACTGCTGGTCCTCAGGGGTGGGCAGCTGAGCGTTTGATTCCTTTATCTCCCCGCCCCCCACCACCTTGCTCATTGTGGAACACTGGGCCTTCACTTATATGCTTTCTCAAGGAGCTTCTTCCACAGGCCCTGGGCATTGGAAGTTGAGGCCAAGCTATAAGTTATACTCGGGACTAGAGTCTAGAGCACAGATCATCAGAGGTAATATAGTCTCGCCCTCTCCACTGCAACCTTTTCCAGAGGCAAGAAGAATCAAAGCTAATCTGAATAAGCAGGACCTTCCTTGGCAGGCCAAGCACAGCTGCACAGAGCTACTCATGTCCACACTTCCACCAAATGCACTCCCTCCTACCATGCAGTGGGAGAAGTTACTCACCCACCCACCCACACACCAAATGCACTTCCTCCCACCATGCAGTGGGAGAAGTTGGAACACCAATGTTTCATCTTCTGGATGGATGGCTGTTACCAAACAGACTTGGGGCTCAACCCGTTTTATAATGCTGCAAAGGTTAAATACAGATATGTATGTAAAGTTCTTGGCATAGTGTGTACACATAATAGGTGACCCAACTGGGCAGCTGTCTTTGTTTATTATTGCTCAAGCATTGCCTCTATTTCCAAGTCTGACCAGACTTCTAACTCACAGTGACCCCAGGAAGCCAACTCCCCACTCTGAGCCTCAGGTTTCTAATGAAACTAAAGGGATGAGCTAGAATGATTTGGGATGGATTAGAATGTTCTAAACTGTTCTCCCAGTACTAATACTGTTTGATTTCAGAGCCCAAGAAAACAAGAGAAGGCAAAGAGCATTGACAAGTGAAAACTTGAGTGTAGTGGCCCACACCTTTAATCCCAGTACTCAGGAGACAGAGGCAGGTGGATCTCTGTGAGTTTGAGGCCCGCTTGGTCAAGTTCTAGGACAGCCAGAGCTACACAGAGAGAAACCCTATCTGGGGGCCCGCTTGGTCAAGTTCTAGGACAGCCAGAGCTACACAGAGAGAAACCCTGTCTGGGGGAGTGGGGAGCCCAGGCAAGTGAAAACCTAATAGAAATAAGACACAAAGGAACTGTGGATGCCATGAGACACAAAGAGCCAGACAGAAGGGCTCCCATTGGCCTCATCTGGGGCAATTTATGCACCAAAATAATGGTTTCTCATAATAAGTTACAATCATTTACATACAGGAATTCATGAGTCCATGCTGATAATAATAGGTAAAAATGGACAGGGTAGCAGAGAGTATTCTTGCCTGCAATAGAATGCTAAGGACTCTGCTTAAAATTTGGGCAGAGAATTAGGACTAGAGAAATTATCACTTTTACAGCAACAGCTCAATGAGTGATGCTAAATGCAGAGGGAAATTCCAAGAACAGCAAAGCTTTTGCACTGTCTTAAAGATTCTGCCAACAAATGACTCATTGGCCTCACGGGAGGAACAAACAATAGTAATTGCACAGAGGGAAAATTAGGTTACATATTAACTGGGGGAATAAAAATTAACATGTCCAATGGTGGCAGATGGACATTGTGTGCCTCCAGATGGGACATCCTATAAAGGATGTATCCCCTGGTATCCCCATAGGGTGCTCTCCCTGAGACTGCAGGGACAAATTTAATAATGGAAAAACAATTGGACACAGAATGAGGAGTCTATTGTTAAAAGAGGTTGAGGCTGAGGCAGGGCATAATAGCACATGCCTGTTAGCCCAGCGCTGGAGAGACTGGGCAGGAAGATTGCAAATTTGAGGCCAGCTTGTGCTTCATAGTAAGACCTTGTCTCAAAACAAAACAACAGTGGTTAAGTTGTATTCTTGAAAATTATCCAAGTCATGGAAAACAAAGAAATGCTTTGTTTTTTTTTAATGTTCCAGATTAAAAGATATGCCCGTTATATTTAATAAACATGTCTGCACTGAATTTGGCAGAGAGAGTATGGGGAAGAGCTGAAAAAAATAAAGGTTATCAGATCAGCTGAGAGAATTAGGTATTGATGGTGGATTAAGGGGCCTCATCCATGTGGATGTATGAAGTTGAATTCTGGAAGCGGATACTAAGGGGCCTCATCCATGTGGATGTATGAAGTTGAATTCTGGAAGCGGATTTGAAATGAATTCCTGTTCTTAGGAAATACGCTAGAGTGTGCCAGGGAGGTAGACTATGAGGAATATAACCAACCCTCCAAATGATTCATGGGGGGAAGTGTGTGTGTGTGTGTGTGTGTGTGTGTGTGGAGAGGTGTGTGTGTGTGTGTGTGTGTGTGTGTGTGTGTGTGTGTGTGAGCGTGAGCATGAGTGTGTGTGAATGTATCTGAGTGTGTGTACTGTGAGTGTGTGGGTGTGAATATATGCTGTGTGTGTGTGAATGAATGAATGCTGTGTGTGTGTGTGTGAATGTGAGTGTGTGAATGTATGCCTTGTGAGTGTGCATGTGAGTATGTGGGTGTGAATGTATGCTGTATGTGTATAAGTGTATGTGTGTGTGTGTGTGTATGCTGTGTGAGTGTGTATGTGAGCGTGAGCATGAGTGTGTGTGACTGTATCTGAGTGTGAGTGTGTACTGTGAGTGTGTGGGTATGAATATATGCTGTGTGTGTGTGAATGAATGAATGCTGTGTGTGTGTGTGTGTGTGAGCGTGAGCATGAGTGTGTGTGACTGTATCTGAGTGTGAGTGTGTACTGTGAGTGTGTGGGTATGAATATATGCTGTGTGTGTGTGAATGAATGAATGCTGTGTGTGTGTGTGTGTGTGTATGCTGTGTGAGTGTGTATGTGAGCGTGAGCATGAGTGTGTGTGACTGTATCTGAGTGTGAGTGTGTACTGTGAGTGTGTGGGTATGAATATATGCTGTGTGTGTGTGAATGAATGAATGCTGTGTGTGTGTGTGTGTGTGTATGCTGTGTGAGTGTGTATGTGAGCGTGAGCATGAGTGTGTGTGACTGTATCTGAGTGTGAGTGTGTACTGTGAGTGTGTGGGTATGAATATATGCTGTGTGTGTGTGAATGAATGAATGCTGTGTGTGTGTGTGTGTGTGTATGCTGTGTGAGTGTGTATGTGAGCGTGAGCATGAGTGTGTGTGACTGTATCTGAGTGTGAGTGTGTACTGTGAGTGTGTGGGTATGAATATATGCTGTGTGTGTGTGAATGAATGAATGCTGTGTGTGTGTGTGTGTGTGTATGCTGTGTGAGTGTGTATGTGAGCGTGAGCATGAGTGTGTGTGACTGTATCTGAGTGTGAGTGTGTACTGTGAGTGTGTGGGTATGAATATATGCTGTGTGTGTGTGAATGAATGAATGCTGTGTGTGTGTGTGTGTGTGTATGCTGTGTGAGTGTGTATGTGAGCGTGAGCATGAGTGTGTGTGACTGTATCTGAGTGTGAGTGTGTACTGTGAGTGTGTGGGTATGAATATATGCTGTGTGTGTGTGAATGAATGAATGCTGTGTGTGTGTGTGTGTGTGTATGCTGTGTGAGTGTGTATGTGAGCGTGAGCATGAGTGTGTGTGACTGTATCTGAGTGTGAGTGTGTACTGTGAGTGTGTGGGTATGAATATATGCTGTGTGTGTGTGAATGAATGAATGCTGTGTGTGTGTGTGTGTGTGTATGCTGTGTGAGTGTGTATGTGAGCGTGAGCATGAGTGTGTGTGACTGTATCTGAGTGTGAGTGTGTACTGTGAGTGTGTGGGTATGAATATATGCTGTGTGTGTGTGAATGAATGAATGCTGTGTGTGTGTGTGTGTGTGTATGCTGTGTGAGTGTGTATGTGAGCGTGAGCATGAGTGTGTGTGACTGTATCTGAGTGTGAGTGTGTACTGTGAGTGTGTGGGTATGAATATATGCTGTGTGTGTGTGAATGAATGAATGCTGTGTGTGTGTGTGTGTGTGTATGCTGTGTGAGTGTGTATGTGAGCGTGAGCATGAGTGTGTGTGACTGTATCTGAGTGTGAGTGTGTACTGTGAGTGTGTGGGTATGAATATATGCTGTGTGTGTGTGAATGAATGAATGCTGTGTGTGTGTGTGTGTGTGTATGCTGTGTGAGTGTGTATGTGAGCGTGAGCATGAGTGTGTGTGACTGTATCTGAGTGTGAGTGTGTACTGTGAGTGTGTGGGTATGAATATATGCTGTGTGTGTGTGAATGAATGAATGCTGTGTGTGTGTGTGTGTGTGTATGCTGTGTGAGTGTGTATGTGAGCGTGAGCATGAGTGTGTGTGACTGTATCTGAGTGTGAGTGTGTACTGTGAGTGTGTGGGTATGAATATATGCTGTGTGTGTGTGAATGAATGAATGCTGTGTGTGTGTGTGTGTGTGTATGCTGTGTGAGTGTGTATGTGAGCGTGAGCATGAGTGTGTGTGACTGTATCTGAGTGTGAGTGTGTACTGTGAGTGTGTGGGTATGAATATATGCTGTGTGTGTGTGAATGAATGAATGCTGTGTGTGTGTGTGTGTGTGTATGCTGTGTGAGTGTGTATGTGAGCGTGAGCATGAGTGTGTGTGACTGTATCTGAGTGTGAGTGTGTACTGTGAGTGTGTGGGTATGAATATATGCTGTGTGTGTGTGAATGAATGAATGCTGTGTGTGTGTGTGTGTGTGTATGCTGTGTGAGTGTGTATGTGAGCGTGAGC